TCACGTATTTTTACAACACTATAATTGCTGTGAACACACCTTTTCGACTTTTTGGTTAAGGCACATTTTAAAGCATATTTCCATGGATCAAAATGGTTCAAATTTTGCTTGGATGGGAGGATGGGATTCAGTTTGCTGAAGCATGTTTACTTGCTATGGAGTACTCTACCATACTGATACAACAAGTTTTATCAGATTGTTTTGAAAACTGTGATTTCAAAATCAAAATCTTTATCACATGCTGCTAGTTACTTTCCAAAAAGATTAGACCAATTTACAGAATCACTGTCAACTAAACTCTCCCCAGAAAATCACCAAACACTGGGCTTTATCGTACTGTTTTGTAGGATCCTCAACTTTTCAACTCCCTGTGGCATTGACAAATACACTACGGTCAAAGGACTCTATATTCTGATCTCAGAGAACATGACTGGAATTACCTCAGCTCAGCACCCAACAGTACAATGGGGTTTTGCCTGCATATCTAGCACTATGCTGTGTTTATGAAGTTCATGACGCACTGAGCAAAGGGGAAGCTGGCAAGCTGATATGAAAGTGGGTGAAGGAAAAATGAGAACAAAACTGAAAGGGTAAGCAGCAGTAAGAAAAATCTGTTACTGTCTGAATATAGAAGAGGTATTGATGTGACTAGAAGCAGGGGTGTTTGGAAAGGAAGGAAGCAACTGAATTCCTTGGGCCAAATGGATTTAAATGAGCCCACATGGAATTGACCATGCACTGATCTTTGCTTTGGCAATCCAGTTCAAATCATTCCCTCCACGCAGAATAAATATGCTTAATTATTGCCTAATTTTCTCTCAACTGTTCTTTGTAAATATTCAGGGTTAGCTCGTTCTACTTTCCACTCAGATTATTTGTTCACCTGATAATAATAATGGCTAACATTATTAAGCACTTACCTTGTGCCAGGCACCTTGTTAACAGCTTTTATTTTGGCCAGGTGTAGTGGCTCATGCCTGTAATCCCAGCACTTTGGGAGGCCCAGGCAGGCGGATCACGAGGTCAGGAGTTCCGACTAGCCTGACCAACATGGTGGAACCCTGTCTCTACTAAAAATACAAAAATTAGCTGGGCATGGTAGAGCTCGCCTGTAATCCTAGCTACTCAGGAGGCTGAGGCAGGAGAATCGCTTGAACCAGGGAGGTGGAGGTTGCAGTGAGTCGAGATTGTGCCACTGCACTCCAGCTGGGTGACAGAGCAAGCCTCCATATCAAAAAAAAAAAGAAATAAAAAGAAAAGAAAAACAATTTTATTATTTTTAAATTATTATTATTTTTTTAAGATGGAGTCTCACACTGTTGCCCAGGCTATAGTGCAGTGGCATGATCTCCGTCTCGGCCTCCCAAAGTGCTGGGATTACAGGCTTGAGCCACTACGCCCGGCCAATTTTTAAACTTTTTTTGAGACAGGGTCTCGCTCTGGCACCCAGGCTGGAGTACAGTGGCATGATCTTGGCTCACTGCAATCTCGGCCTCCCGGGTTCAAGTGATTTTCGTGCCTCAGCCTCTCGAGTGGCTGTGATTACAGGCATGTGCCACCATGCCCAGCTAATTTTTGTATTTTGTATTTTTAATAGAGTAGTTTTACCTACTCTATTAAAATGTTGGCCAGGCTGGTCTCGAACCGCTGAGCTCAAGAAATCTGCCTGCCTCGGCCTCCCAAAGTTCTGGGATTACAGCCACTGTGCCTGGCCAAGGTAAATAAATTTTAAACCCATTTTTTTGAATAAGGAACCTGAGGCAAAGGTAAATGAATATACCTTACATCAACTTCCTCTTTGGGAAAGGAATTAGTATAGAAGGAACCTGGAAATCTACTAACAACTGATAGTCCTGTAGTAAATAAGCCAGCAAACTTCTGCAGTCCGGGAAACTGCATCATCAGCATTTAGCTTGTTAATAGTGAACCATCTAATGCGAACCTGCAGTAAGGATAGGGGACACGAGAAGTACAGATGGTATCTGCAAAACCTTAGGTGTTAACCCTAAGCCAGTCATTCCACCTCTCTCAACCTCCCTTCCCTCTACTTTAAAACGGGGCTGTGCAACTTGATCATGTCTCTGAAGAGTTTTGGAAAACTGAATAAATAATGAGCTTGAAGTGCTTTACAAACTTTTAAAGACTTCAAAAAAAAAAATCTTTCAATAAGCAACAGATGTAGAACATTTAAATTCTATTTGGCCTACAAGTAAAGGTGACTCCATTCTTCCCTACCTCAAATGTCCTCTCCCATCTCTCTGGTACTGAGAAAATCTGTGTCGCCAGTTATAAGGCAATCTACACAAGACCAACGCGCTAACCCACTGCCACCTCAGGGTTATCAAACATTTCCACACTGGCACAGCCAAAAATACCCCACAAACCCAGAGAGAAAAATCACCCTTTAAAGATTTGGCCTTGGGTTTTAAATCTGGCCATCCTTTTTTTTTTTTTTAACACTATGTATCCACAATCTTTCCTTCAATGCTGCCTCGTTCTAATTTCTGTTTTTCACATCCATTAGTGGCACATGATAGGCCAGAGGTTGCTGCCACAGCGTAACGGAAAAGGTGCCTCGAATCTGGGTGTGCAACGCACTGGGCCATATTCTGGTCCCCAGTTTTCATGGGTTCCCTCAGTAGGCTACCCACTGGCTTAGGAGCATTTCTAGCCCTTAGTGGAGTAAAAATATTAACACCTAACACTTGATTCCCACCTTTAAGATACAATTTAAAGAAAGGCTGAAAAGGCAAACGGCTCAAAGTGCCTCCACCAGGCACCTCCAGGCCCACGCCGAGGGGGTCCCTACGGCCCACTGTAGGTACCCTCCGGGGTGGGACACTCCCCGGCCCACCGCCCCGCTGGCTTCCACGGAGCACCCCAGCCAACCCGGGAGTCCACGCGGGACACTCCCCGGCCCACAGCCCCGCCGGCCTCCACGGGGCACCCCAGCCAACCCGGGAGTCCACGCGGGACACTCCCCGGCACACAGCCCCGCCGGCCCCCACGGGGCAGGCTCCCCACAGACGGACGCTCCTCTAACCCGGCGCGCCGGGAGCCGCAGCCGCCTCACGAAGGCCTCAGACGCCGGGCGGGACCGTCTCTGGCGGACCTCGGCCTCGGCGCCCTTTCCGCCTGGACCTCTCGCCTCGGGCCTCGGGGCTTCGCCACCCACCCGGAGAGGCCCAGCCCGGCCCAGCGCGCCCAGGCCGCTCCACGTCCTCACCCTCGCTCTCTCGGCCGCCCGCAGCGTCCTCACCCGCCAGCCCGGCCTCCGCAGTCGCCAACAGCGGCCTCCACACTGGCGTCGGCGTCGCAGGCTCGGGACTGCCCAAGCAGCCCCCGCGCCCCGCCCTGGGCCCCGCCCCCCGCCGCGGACGCGCCGTCGATTGGCCTGCGGGGCGCCGGGGCGGAGCCTCTCCAGCCGGGCGGCCTAAACGGGCAAGACCGAGTTCTGATTGGTGAACGGACGGAGAAGGGGCGGGACCAGTCGGGCGTGACACAGAGTGTAAATCTGTGCAGAGCTCGGCTCGTGGGGCGGGCGTCGGCTGGCCGGGCGGGGCTACGTCCCGGGCGAGGCCTAGGCTCGCTGGGCGGGGCTAGATCTTGGGCGGGGCAGCGGCCGGCCGGGCGGGTTACGTCCTGGGCGGGGCCCCGGCTCGCTGGGCGGGGCTGGGCTTAGCCTGGACCTTGGCGGCTCTCCTTGCACTGCGTCACTGGCCGCCAGCCTCCTCCTTACCCGCACCCACTGCATCCCTCATGGGGCTACACGGACCGAAGGGGATCATCGAAGGATTGCGCGAGGGTGTGCTAAGGCTGAGACAGGCTGCTCCGTGGAGGCGGCCAGGGCAGTTTTGCGGTCTCCCTCTCGCCGAGAGACCCCCCACCAGAGAATGGAAACCTGACTCGCTGTAGCACTTTCCCTCCCTCTTGAAAGGTTGATTCAACTATGCGTTCAAGACCCTACCCAACGTGCCCTCCTAGCCCAGCCCTGGCACCCACTGTCACTGCGCGGCTGTCGAGGAAATAATTAAATCCTGCAAACACCGGGCACTTATGAGACTTCTGTGGTGCTGTGGATTCCAGAGTGAAGCCTGACCCTTCGTTTCCCAAAAGCCCAAGCAGGAGAAAAGTTGGCTGAGGGGAACCTCCGCTTCTCCTGAGGCAACTTTGGGGGGTCTGAGACCCGGGCACACCAAGACTGGGCTCAGCACTGTGGCGTGCTCCCCCCATGTCACCCACCTCTGGGGCTCTTCCTCTAACCAGCCCCCAGTGACATCATCAGGCCCACAGTGGTGCACACAGAGGACTCTCGCAGACGGGCAGGGCAGGTGGGGATACTGCAGGTGTGAGCCTGGCATGCTGCAGGGTGTGTGCCGGTGACCTGAGACTGTTAACTGAGGAACTAGAGAAAGCAAGAGTTTCACTACCCAGGGTCTATAAGGAGGAAGCTCAGGAAGCTCTAGCAAGGTAAAAAGGGCCCAGGTGGTCCTGGGATGGTCAGTCCAGCGGGCAGCAAGAAGGCTAGAGGACTTGGGGTTTAGGCGTCCAGCCAGATCAGGCTTAGAAGTTCCGGTTTCCAGTTTCTTTTACTCAAGTGGTAGAGCCTACTTAGGCTATCTAGTCTTGAAAATGTACAGATTTGAAATTTCTTCTTATATTTCATTCACTTGTATTTCCAGGAATTCAGTAGTTGCTATCCATGCATTCTTTTCTCACTATATTTTCTAATTAGGAAATACCTATCACTGACCTCTTGGTGTTGATTTTCACCAGATGTCTTGCACTTTCTAAGTAGATGATCTGATCACCTGTAAATAATTCCTTTCCAATCTTTTTTGCTATCTTTTGGGCTGGATCTCCAATACGTACAAAGTTGTTCAGTACTGATGCTATTGATGCAAGTAATTTTCCCTTATTTTATACACACGTTGTCAAAGCTTTGAATTTTCCCAGAAAACCTCACAACTTTCCCTTGCAAATAACCGAAATACTCATTTAACATCTAAACAATAGTGCTTTATTGATAAAAGATTAGTTTAAATGGATACAAAATTGCTGTGTAAAATAAGTGTTTTGAAAATACATTTCTATAGGTAGAGACGATCTCTTAGTAAAAGAGCAGTTATCTATTATCAAAAGTATATCTTAAGGTTTGGGTAGTACCACAAAAGGTGGTCAGAGGTGCAGCCCTGGGCCCCCCTTGTGCACAGCTACTACCAGAGTGCCTGAAGTAGGACTTTCGCACAAACATACATGGGGCTTAATCACTTGCAAATGTTTTTTTTTTTTTTTTTTTTTTTTTTTTTTTTACAGATTTTTCTAGCAAAGTTATTAAATGTCAAAAACTCAAATAATGGACTCTGCATGGATGTACTCTATAAAGTCATGGAACACTTTTTCTTAGTTACCTTCACACAATAAGCTATAACATACGGCTTTTGGCTATTTGCAAGCAACAGTGAAGGAGCAAAGTTAGCAAGAGCACCAGATTATTTTCTGTAGCACACCTTCATAACGAATGTGTAACTGCCTCATTTTATGTTTTCCCCCACAAAAAAACAAAAAACCCTGTCTCATCCTCAGAGTGAGCATTTTCTCCATCTTCCTACACAACCATTGTCTCCTTTCATCTGTCACTTTCTGCAGCTGAATCTCCCAACTTCAGTGTAATTGATTAAAAAAAAAAAAAAAAAGGCAAGCCCTGGAGCATGCCACCGGGAGACACGGGAGGAAAGGTGAGGCTAAGGCCACAGTGCACAGAAAACAGACCAGGTGTGGCTTCGAATGTGCACACCTGCCTACTAGCTATACTACAGACTTGAAATGTCTTCCACTTTGACACGACACATGGTTATTACACAAAATGAATAAAACGACAACGGCTAAAAAAAAAATGAGACAGTCTGCCCACACAAAAATGATTACTGCTATTTTCCTCCCATCAGAAAATCATGCAAAAAAGGAATATTTAAAGGAAACCCAAATCAGGAAAACCTGGTAGGCATCAGAGATCAGGCGTTCAGGGTGCCAAGGCCTTAGGGTGGGAACACTGTTCAATGGCAAGCTGGGCTCCAGGGGCATGCCCACCGACAGACCCCAATTTCCACAGGGGAGGCAGATCTTCTATATCTACAGTTACAGAAAATACACTAAAGTGCGGTATAAAATATAGAAAGGTTGGATTCTGAATAGGTAAACTGCTAATTTTCCTTAAAATTTTTTTTAAAATTTTGGTTAAGAGTTTACTGAATCTCATTTTGTAGGTAAGAATCTTAGTTGTGACTACTCTGATTTTCTCTGTAGCACAGGATAACCAGTATCAGTGGAGATCACGTGGCTTACAGTGAGTTCTCTGCATAGTGGTTTTAAAACGACCTAGCATCAGAATCAAGAGACTTCTTTAAAAGTCACCTCTAAAAAAGCTATTTAAGTGTAAAGATATATCTCATTAGGTAATTCTATTGTTTTATTTGGTTAACAGATAATAAACTCACAGACAAAAGAACAGTACTGAATGATAGCAGCAAAACTGGTTTTAGATGTTGTGTACAAACATAAAAGCAAGGAAGCAGTGTGGTGTGGTAAGCAATGACCCTGCCCCAGGCCAGCGGATCTTTCTACAGCACTAGGCACACACCTCTACCACCCAGGAACATAATGGGTCAATCTGAATGTTCTAGATACAAATCAGGAGTGCTCGAATAGTTAGTCAGTCGTTAAGTCAGTTAAATTAAAGAAATTCAGTATTAACTATACACGCTGATTCTTGGAAGTCAATTCTAACGTTAGTGGTTAGGAAGAAGAAAAGGAAAAGTTCACCTCACAAAATACAGAGTGTAACAGCAATGAAATACATATGTTAAAAGTACCTCATACAAAAAAAAAAAATCAAAACTTTTTAAAAAATTAAATTCTCAGGCACAGGTAAGTTAAAATGTGGATGGCACTCTCCCAAGGATTATGAAAACACACGGCTGGATCACGCATCTGGAATGTTTTCTTTTTTATCCAGGAAAGTGTTTTCTGGAAAAAAGAAAACAAAACATATGTAAGTGGGAGTGAGGCAATGTTGGCCGTGCTGATCATTAACAGCTCTACTTTTCTCCGGGGCATAAACTGAGCAAACAGGAGGGTTTACATGACCACAGAGTTAATGAAATCAAAACACCACTTATGAGGCTCATGGAGACTGGAAATGCTGCAAAACTAAAAAGTATACAGAAATAAAATTTTATCTATCTAAAAGCAAAATTTTCATTCCATAAAGGTTGGAAGCCAGAAGCTCAGAGAAAATGAGCAAACAGCTATCACTGCCTCCTGCTTCAAATGAGCTGCATCCCTGAGGCCCCCTTGTCTCTTTCCACTGCACCCTGACTTCCCCAGTCACATGGCATGTCTGCTTATACAGGATCAGCCTCTACAGTCAGCAGGCCACTGTTTAAAAGTTATATGATCAGCAGCAAATCATTTTAAACTCTTGGAGCCGCAACTATTTCCTTATGAGTAAAGCTCAACTCAGCACAAACCCTCAGGACTATCCTAAGGTGTCAATGTGATGATGAAAGGAAAGCAAGCAACTTGGACCCGGCTGAGGGTGACACGGACGCCTTCCTTACAGTATCTTATTAAACTGTACGCATGTGTTTGTGTGCATTTTGCGTCAATATTGTATTTCACAATGAGCATCTTTCCCAGTAAGCTGCACGAGGGTTTGGTGACTGAGGCTCCAGCAAGGCACTCTGGGTCCTTCCTCAGTCACCTATCCACATGCCATGGAGGCCTCTAGACTCCCTGCCTTCTGCCCAACCCTAACCCTGCCATGTGTCGGTGAAGGCTCAAGCCCACTCCCTGTTTTCATGAACACCCTCATGCTTCCAGAATGAGGTGCTCGAATTGTGGAGACCTTCTATCAAATCCCCAGTGTCTGATCCTCATATCTCGGCCAACTCAAACTCTCTTTCAAGCTCTCATCAGGTATCTTGTATAAGGTTTGCCTTTACCCCAGCTCCATGTGACCTGCTCTCTTCTTTGGACTTTTAGGTCGTTACCTGACTTTACCTTTCATGCTTTTCCTCAGGCAAGTGACGGGAGTGGCCAGCTGGACAGACTAGAGAGCCTGCCTGTCCGTAAGATACAGGGTAGTGGGCATGTGCCTTTTCCTGGTCCTGAGTCTCTGTTGTCTGCAGATTTTTTTCAAGCAGGCAGACCAGTATACACCCTGCCAGACATCTACTTGCTAATGACCGTCAGTCGGGACAGAGCTGTCTGAGAAACAGGAGGTCAGCAGTCTCCAGCCAGAAAATCCGTATCTACCTGGCATAACCCTTCCTCCTTGTGCCATCTTTACTTTTAATCTGGACAAGCTGTTTCAGTAACACAATTTTATTCCCTTTAAAGAGTTGTTTTAACGATTAACACATTTCCAATAATACAACTAATAAAAGTATTTTAATACATAATTTCCTTCTAATGTTGATCGTTATTTGCAAACCTGTAAAATAACCTGCAAATGTACCCCAAAAATAAAAGTTGAAATTATTAAAAAAAAAAAAAAAAAAAGAGGTCCCTGGGCAAGATGGCCAAATAGAAACAGCTCCGGTGCACAGCTCCCAGTGAGTTCAATGCAGAAGATGGGTGTGATTTCCACATTTCCAACTGAGGTACCAGGTTCATCTCATTGGGGCTGGTTGGACAGTGGGTGCAGCCCAAGGAAGGTGAGCAGAAGCAGGGTGGGGCGTTGCCTCACTTGGGAAGCACAAGGGACCTGGAGCTCCCTCTCCTAGTCAAGGGAAGCCACCAGGAACTGTTTCCTGCACTCCGGCCCAGATATTGTGCTTTTCTCACGGTCTTCACAGCCTGCAGACCAGGAGATTTCCTCTCGTACCTACACAACAGAGCCCTGGGTTTGCCGCAGAAAACTGGGTGGCCATTTGGGGAGAAACCAAGCTAGTTGCGGCAATTTTTTTTTCATACCCCAGTTTTGTCTCTCGGGTGCCTGAGAACTGTTCACTCCCCTGGAAAGGGGGCTGAGGCCAGGGAGCCAAGTGTTCTGGCTCGGCGGGTCCTACTGCCATGGAGACCAGCAAGCTGAGATCCACTGGCTGGAAATCCAAGCAGCTGGCACAGCAGCCTGGGCCTGACCTAGGCGGTTCGAGCTCCGTAGGGGGAGGGGCGTTTGCCTTTGCTGAGGCTCCTGTAGGCTCCAGTAGGGGTTTGCTTACCCCACAGTGTAAGCAAAGCTGCTGGGAAATCCGAACTGGGCGGAGCCCAACACAGCTCACCAGCTGCAGGCACTGTCTCACTAGATGTTCTTGCTGAGCAGATCATCTCTAAAAAAAGGCAGCAGCCCATCAGGGACTTATAAATAAAGCCCCCACCTTCCTGGGACAGAACATCTGGGAAAAGGGGTGATAATGGGTACAGCTTCAGCAGACCTAAACATCCCTGCCTGGCAGCTCTGAAGAGAGCAGTGGATTTCCCAAAACAGTGTTCGAGCTCTGATAAGGGCTAACTCATTTTATGAGGCCAACATTATCCTGACACCAAAACCTGGCAGACACACAACTAAAAAAGAAAATTTCAGGCCAATATCCCTGATGAACATCAATGTGAAAATCCTCAATAAAACACTGGCAAACCGAATCCAACAGCACATCAAGAAGCTTATCCATCACAATAAAGTCGGCTTCATCCCTGGGATGCAAGGCTGGTTCAACACACGCAAATCAATAAATGTAATTCACCACATAAACAGAACCAAAGACAAAAACCACGATTACCTCAAGAGATGCAGAAAAGGCCTTTGACAAAATTCAACAACCTTTCATATGCTAAAAACTCTCAATAAACTAGGTACTGATGAAACGTACCTCAAAACAATAAGAGCTATTTATGACAAACCCACAGCCAATATCATACTGAATGGGCAAAAACTGAAAGCATTCCCTTTGAAAACTGGCACAAGACAAGAATGCCTTCTCTCACCACTCCTATTCAACACAGTATTGGAAGTTCTGGCCAGGGCAATCAGGCAAGAGAAAGAATAAAGGGTATTCAAGTAGGTGAAGAGGAAGTCAAATTGTGTCTATTTACAGACAACATGATTGCATATTTAGAAGACCCCATTGTCTCAGCCCAAAATCTCCTTAAACTATAAACAACTTCGGCAAAGTCTCAGGATACAAAATCAATGTGAAAAAAATCACAAACATTCCTATACACCAATAACAGACAAAGAAAGAGCCAAATCATGAGTGAGCTCCCATTCACAACTGCTACGAAGAGAATTAAATACCTAAGAATACAACTTCCAAGGGATGTGAAGGACCTCTTCAAGGAGAGGTACAAACCACTGCTCAAGGAAATGAGAGAACACAAACAGATGCTCATGATTAGGAAGAATCTATATCGTGAAAATGGCCATACTGCCCAAAGTAATCTATAGATTCAATGCTATCTCCATCAAGCTACCACCGACTTTCTTCACAGAACTGGGAAAAACCACCTTAAGTTGCATATGGAATCAAAAAAGAGCCCACATAGCCAAGACAACTCTAAGCAAAAATAAAAAAACAAAAAAAACAAAGCTGGAGGCATCAGGCTACCTAACTTCAAACTATGCTACAGGGCTACAGTAACCAGAACAGCATGGTACTGGTACCAAAACAGATATATAGGCCAATGGAACACAACAGAGGCCTCAGAAACAAGGCCACACACCTACAACCATCTGACCTTTGACAAACCTGACAAAAGCAATGGAGAAAGGACTCCCTATTTAATAAGTGGTGCTGGGAAAAGTGGCTAGCCATGTGCAGAAAGCTGAACCTGGACCCCTTCCTTACACCTTGCAAACATTAAATCAAGATGGATTAAACATTTAAACATAAGACCTAAAACCATAAAAACCCTAGAAGAAAACCTAGGCAATACCTTACAGGACATAGGCATGAGCAAAGGCTTCATGACTAAAACACCAAAAGCGATGGCAACAAAAGTCAAAATAGACAAATGGGATCTAATTAAACTGAAGAGCTTCTGTACAGCAAAAGAAACTATCATCAGCATAAACAGGCAACCTACAGAATGGGAGAAAATGTTTGCAGCCCACCCATCTGACAAAGGGCTCATGTTCAGAATCTATAAAGAACTTAAATTTATTGGAAAGAATAACCCCATCAAAAAGTGGGCAAAGGATATGAACAGACACTTCTCAAAAGAAGACATATATGAGGCCAACAAACATGAAAAAATGCTCATCATCACTGGTCATTAGAGAAATGCAAATTAAAACCACATTGAGATACCATGTCGTGCCAGTTAGAATGGCGATCATTAAAAAGTCAGGAGACAATGGATGCTGGAGAGGATCTGGAGAAATAGGAATGCTTTTACACTGTTGGTGGGAGCGTAAATTAGGTCAATCATTGTGGAAGACAGTGTGGCGATTCCTAAAGGATCTAGAACTAGAAACACCATTTGACCCAGCAATCCCATTACAATTCTTTGGGTATATGTCCAAAGAATTATAAATCTTCTATTACAAAGACACATGCACACGTATGTTTACTGCAACACTGTTCACAATAGCAAAGACTTGGAACCAACCCATATGCCCATCAATGATAGACTGGACAAAGAAAATGTGGCACATATACACCACAGAATACTATGGAGCCATAATAAAGGATGAGTTCATGTCCTTTGCAGAGACATGGATGAAGCTGGAAACCATCAACCTTAACAAACTAACACAGGAACAGAAAACCAAACACCACATGTTCTCACTCCTAAGTGGGAGTTGAACAATGAGAACACATGGACACAGGAAGGGAAACATCACACACCAGGACTGTTGGGGGGTGTGGTGGGGGGCCAGGGTAGGGACAGTAGTAGGAGAAATACCTAATGTAGATGACGGGGTGACGGATATGGCCAACCTACATAACAAACCTGCATGTTCTGCACATGTACTACAGAGCTTAAAGTACAATTTAAAAAAAAGAGAAAAATATGAAAAATCTTTACTAGAAAGTAGGTGGCAAAGCAGTGGCTTCTGTTCTTCAGGAGTAAACCTTTCTTGTTTGAGACTAGTGATGGAGTTAATGACAACTTCAAAATGCAAAGCATTGGTAACGCTTGAGGAGGAGCCCGTCATATTTCACACAATATCATGCCGGTAACAACTGCCTGTCTTCCAGGCTCAGGGACACCAGGGCCCGCCTCTGACCTCCCGGAGTGTACATTACCTCACACGTGGTGCCCGAGAGCCCCGCCGTCGCCGTCCCCGCCCTGCATCTGTAGCTGCATCTGCGCCTGCATCCTAGCGATCATCTCCTGCATGCGGCGGAGCTGCGGACACAGTGTACACCGGACACATTACAGGTTTTCGCAGTTTGCTGTCTCAGCATTATTTCTGGGTGTTCCGTGATTCCTAAAATTTCAACTTCTACACTTTCCCAAAACATAACCCAGTTATTATATAAAGGCTTCTTACCAATCAATAATAAGAGCTATTTATGACAAACCCACAGCCAATATCATACTGAATGAGCAAAAAATGGAAGCATTCCCTTTGAAAACCAGCACAAGACAAGGATGCCCTCTCTCACCACTCCTATTTCATATTCCTAAAAGGACCAATAGCTAAAGAGAAAACCAAGTAAATGATACGAATATCCAACCCAAATAAAAAAGAAATTCTCAGTAAACAGTAACAATAACCGAAGAAAGATAACACAATATGAGAAATTTTCTAACCTTAAATAGGGGGAAAGAGACTGATGACAGTGGGAAATGAAACGTAAAGGGGTATGGGAATGAATCAGCTTTTCTGGAGGGCAATGAAGGCCTACCAATGAAAATAATATATATGTGTAAACATATATGTTATTTATTTATTTAAATTTCCCCTTGCGTGTCACATATATAGATTTTTTAAGTGATGGGATCTTGATCTTTTGCCCCGGCTAGACTGCAGTGGAACAATCACAGCTCACTATATCCTCAAACTCCTGGGCTCAGGAGATCCTTCCGCCTCAGCTTCCCAAGTAGCTGGGACTACAGGTGCGTGCTGCCATGCATGGTTAATTATTTTGTCATTTTTTTTGTAGAGATGGAGTCTCACTCTGTTGCCCTAGCTGGTCTTGAATGCCTGGCATCAAGTTATCCTCCTCCTAAAGTGCTGGGACTACAAGTGTGCACAGTGCCTGTCCACAAACAGTGAATGTCAATTCATCTTTATCCTTGTCATTATGCTTTATATGTGTTCAGAAATGCCTCCAGGAAAGCATTATGAAACATTCACCTACATTTTCTTCAGGTAACTTTGTGGTTATTTTTAACATCTAAATATTTGATCATTATTGAATTAATTTGACCAAAGAAGCATTTTCTTTTTGTTTCCAAAAGGCTGGCCCATTATGATCCTATTGTTTACTGAATAATGTGTTTGACTTCCAAAACTCCAGCAAATCTGAATGCCACCTTTACAACAGAGCATATTTCCATATTTATGCTCTACTTACAAAAATCAGGCCGGGCGCGGTAGCTCAAGCCTGTAATCCCAGCACTTTGGGAGGCCGAGGCGGGTGGATCACGAGGTCAAGAGATCCAGACCATCCTGGTCAACATGGTGAAACCCCGTCTCTACTAAAAATACAAAAAATTAGCTGGGCATGGTGGCGCGTGCCTGTAATCCCAGCTACTCAGGAGGCTGAGGCAGGAGAATTGCCTGAACCCAGGAGGCGGAGGTTGCGGTGAGCTGAGGTTGGGCCATTGCACTCCAGCCTGGGTAACAAGAGCGAAACTCCGTCTCAAAAAAAAAAAAAAAAAATCAGTGACATTACTAAATTGCCTCCAAAATGTTTTGGCTAAATATATGAACCATTATGTATGTATGTTTGTACATTATAATATATAAATGGATATATACAGTAATAAAAGTCACATGTATCCTCCTCAACAAATTGAAAAAGAAAAACTAATTACCAGTGACATTTATGGATGAAAAGAAATTGCTTTAGTCATTAAGAATAGTACTTTTTGGCTGGGTGCGGCAGCTAACATCTTTAATCCCAGCACTTTGGGAGGCCAAGGTGGGCAGATCATCTAAGGTCAGGAGTTTAAGACCAGCCTGGCCAACATGGTGACACCTCGTCTTTATTAAAAATACAAAAACTAGCCAGGCATGTAATCCCAGCTACTTGGGAGGCTGAGGCAGGAGAATCGCTTGAACCCGGGAGGCAGAGGTTGCAGTGAGCCGAGATCATGCCACTGCACTCTAGCCTGGACAACAAAGCAAAACTCTGTCTCCAAAAAAAAAAAAAAAAGTACTTTTCTACTTAACTTACCTCAGCTTCCTTTTCCAGCAAGATCTGATCTTTATTCATGTCCTCGTTCTCCACTTTCCTAAGAATTTAAAGAAATCAGAATTATAACACTGTAACAAATAGTTATTTCTGATCCCCCACCCCCAAAATCCTACTTTAAAATTTAAAATGACATGTATTTATCATTTTTCTTTTTTTTTTTTTTTCCATTTTAAATTGAGATAGTGTGTCGCTCTGTTGTCCAGGCTGGAGTGCAGTGACATGATCTCAGCTCACTGCAACCTCCACCTCCTAGGTTCAAGCAATTCTCCCATCGTAGCCTACCAGGCAGCTGGGACTATAGGCGCATGCTGCCATGCCCAGCTAATTTTTTTTATGTTTAGTAGAGACGGAGTTTCGCCATGTTGGCCAGGCTGGTCTTGAACTCCTGCCCTCAAGTAATCTGCTTGCCTTGGAGTCCCAGAGTGCTGGGAATACAGGCGTGAGCCACTGCGCCAGGACTATCATTTTTCTAATTAAAGATATAATGAATAAAAAGGGAACAAAAAGATTAAAAAAAAAAAAAAAGGACAAATAATACTAAATGGAACATTCAAGAGACTTTTCTTACTCTAAGCTTGAGTGACAACACTTGCTTTTACCCACTCAAAAAACAGGTATTATTGGTCAGGTGCAGTGGCTCACACCTGTAACCCCAGCGCTGTGGGAGGCTGAGGTGGGTGGACTACGAGGCCAGGAGATTGAGACTATCCTCGCCAGCATGGTGAAAACCCGTCTCTACTAAAAATACAAAAATTAGCCGGGCGTGGTGGTGGGCTGTAGTCTCAGCTACTCAGGAGGCCGAGGCAGGAGAACTGCTCGAACCAGGGAGTCGGAGGTTGCAGTGAGCCAAGATTATGCCACCACACTCCAGCCTGGGTGACAGATGAGACTCCATCTCACAAAAAAAAAAAGAAAAAGAAAATAGGTATTACCTGAAAAATCTGCTTTAAGTTATTCTTTATGAATACAAATGTAGTCACTGTACTTAAGGAAGGAGCAGAGGCATGCACCACCACACCTGGCTAACTTAAAATAATTTGCTATAAGGCTGGGCGCAGTGGCTCAAGCCTGTAATCCCAGCACTTTGGGAGGCCGAGGCGGGTGGATCACGAGGTCAAGAGATCGAGACCATCCTGGTCAACATGGTGAAACCCCGTCTCTACTAAAACTACAAAAAATTAGCTGGGCATGGTGGCGCGTGCCTGTAGTCCCAGCTACTCAGGAGGCCGAGGCAGGAGGACTGCCTGAACCCAGGAGGCGGAGGTTGTGGTGAGCCGAGATCGCGCCACTGCACTCCAGCCTGGGTAACAAGAGCGAAACTCCGTCTCAAAAAAAAAAAAAAAATAATAATAATAATAATTTGCTATAGAGGTGAGGTCTCCCTATGTTGCCAGGGCTGGTCTCAAACTTCTGGGCTCAAGTGATCCACTTGCCTTGGCCTCCAAGAAAACTTATATAAAAACGTATTAGAATGGTAAAAAACAAAATGTGAGTGAGGGTGGCCGTAGGACTTTGCGAAGATTGACACTGCTTGCTTCAATAGTCACTGGCTGCTTGGAAGCCACTCATCCCGGCCTCACCCTTAACTCGGGCGCTGCACTTTCTTACTGGCAACAAGTCTGTCCTCCTATACAGAGCAATGCTTTTGAAGACGTACTCAACACAAGTCTCTGGCTTTTCCCTCTAAAGTTTTTGTCTGCTTGTTCTGGGATAGGGTCTGGTTCTATTGCCCGGATAAAGTACAGCGGTGCAATTATGGCTCGCTGCATCTCCCAGGCTCAACTGCTCCTCCCAACTCAGCTTCCAGAGTAGCTGGGATTACAGGCCTGTGCCACCATGCCTGACTAAATTCAAATTTTTTTAAATTTTTGTACAGATGGGATTTCATCATGTAATCCCATGGTCTCAAAACTCCTGAGCTGAAGCAATCTACCTGCCTTGGTATCCCAAGGTGCTAGGATTACAGGCATGAGCCACCATGCTGGCCTCAAGTTTTTATGTGGACATCATCAAGGGCACTTTTTCTTTAAAAGGCTAAAAGAACATAATCTGATTAAATTAACAGCTCTTTTATAAACAACTTTTCAGTAGAAAACCAAACCATGTTGCTGAGTGGTCAAGAAGGCTGAGCTAAACACATGGAGAAGGAGGAACATCGTGACTCAGGGTGACACAAAACTGAGGACAAGGCGCAGCGTGATTACCTGCCGCCTCTCTTGAGTCTCTCAGAACGGAAGTTTTCATAATGAAGGTCCTGGGTCACCTCCTGGAGATCCTGCATGTGGGTGCTGAAAGAGAAGAGGAATGCACCAGAATGGCCTCATGCGTTTGACATTCTCATTAGAAAAAAAATCACCCATCAAGTACATAGAAGAAACAGCAGTAATTACAATAACTTGGTAAACTGTACATAAAGCTGTTGGGATTTCAGGATAAGGAGTACAGCCGTGGAAGTGTCTAGTGAGATGTAGCTCTGCCTTTCTTCCCCAGTAAATGACATACACAAACACAGGTCTGGACTGAGTCTCTCAGGGGGATTTCTGCCAGAGGGACAATCATTCCCATATGACGCCATCACTACTACAGGGTGGCAGATGAGACAGATGATAAGAGACTTTTAGGTCAACAATGTCTGAAATAGAATTCACTCTCCTTAAAGGACTTATGGAAATGTAGCTAAAACATTCATGCCTCCTCTAACTTAAAATTTATATATTACTCTCATATGAGCAGAGTTAGTTAGCTTACGCTACGCAGAAGACCATGAAGTGAAGGACTAATATTCTGGATGCAAGAATATTATCAACAGCTTAACCTTCCATTCATCTTATGAATCACTTTTTTTTTTTTTTTCAATTGGCTAGCTTATTCAAATACGTACGCAGGCAAGAATGAGTAAACATTATAACACATTGCTACTTATTCGGGATCCAGGGAAATGGATTGAGACAGCAAAGGAGTGGCTCACTGTCCCACATTGTGATAAACACACAATTGACACTAAGCCCTGTCTTCAGCCTCTACACCCCATTCAATAACGGGCATCAGGACAGCCAAGGATGTAGCCCTGGAGGGGCTGAGTGCACTTGAACTTCTTACGCAACCATTAAATTGTGTTTGACACAGCTTGGATGGTAACATCGTGCTGACTTTAACTCACTACAAATTGTTAAAATAAGTGAGACGTGGCAAATATGTAGCAACTTTCAGCTAATGAAAACATTGATTTGTCCAGATTAGTCTCAGTTGAAGTCCTCTGATTAAAGAGATATAGTTTAAACAATACTCTCAGCTTTTCTTTTTCTTTCCCTGAGATGGAGTCTTGCTCTTGCTGCCCTGGCTGGAGTGCAGGGGCTGGATCTAGGCTCACTTGATCTCTGCCTCCCAGGTTCAAGCAATTTCCTGCCTCAGCAGTAGCTGAGTAGCTGGGATTACAGGCACAGGCCAGCACACCCGACTCATTTTTTTATTCTTAGTAGACGAGGCTTCACCATGTTGGCCAGGCTGGTTTCAAACTCCTGACCTCAAGTGATATGCCCACCTTGGCCTCCTGCAGTGCAAGGAATATAGGTGTGAGCCACCGCGCCCAGTCTCAGTCTCTTTTATTGAAGAGTAAAAGCAATGTATGCATGTTACTATATGTGAAATAAATTTATTTATCAGCCTCTTTTTTTCAAGAGTAAAAGCAATGCAACTATATGTGAAATAAATTTATTTATCAGCCTCATTTTTTAAAGAGTAAAAGCATATACGTGAAATAAATTTATTTATTTACTTGAGACGGAATCTCGTTCTGTCACCCAGGCTGGAGTACAGTGGCATGATCTTGGCTCACTGCAACCTCTGCCTCCGGGGTTCAAGTGATTCTCCTGCCTCAGCCTTCTGTGAGTAGCTGGGTTTACAGGCACACACCACCACGCCCGGCTAACTTTTTTGTATTCTTAATAGAAACGGGGTTTCTCCATATTGGTCAGGCTGGTCTCAAACTCCTGACCTCGCGATCTGCCCGCCTCGGCCTCTCGAAGTGCTGGGATTACAGGCATGAACCACTGAGTCTGGCAATAAAATTTATTTTTACAGGAAAAAATGTCTATTTTTATAGTCAGATCTGTAATTATTAATAATAAATGGAAGACATAAAAAGCTAACCAGGACCATCCAGTGAGTCTCAGACTGGAGAGTAGGATGCCGGGTGTGGCTTGGCCTGGAGCAGCAGATCAGGGGCCTACGGAGCCCCGATCATTTCCTTACCAGTGCTGGGGACCTCTCAGACCCCAGTTTAGGTCTTGTCTCCTTTTAACATCAAAGATGTAAGATCTTAGCAGGAAGGAAAGGTGCTACAGGTTACAGGCCACAGGGGAAGAGCTAGTTTTGTAGTGCCACAGAGGGCCCGGGCGAGGGCTCTCAGCACCAAGCTGCAGCAGCCCCACATGACTTCTGCAATGTGAGAAGCACTGCAGACGACAATGTAGGTGCTGGCTGCAACTCTCTTGGGGGCCACATGTACACCCCATTTGAAATCCATATTCTTCATGCCAAATTCTGCCAGAAGCTACACCCCAAATGTCTTACATGAGCATGGTTCTCAGCTTCAGAAAGTCGTTGTGTTCTGGGTTCTCCACCTCCACAACACCCCAGGGGTAGAGGCGGCCTCTGACCTTCTTTCCTTTGGCTTCAATCAACTGATTGGATCCAACCACAGAGAATGGGATGCTGGCCTAGAAAGACACACACAGAGTAGACAGGCTCAACACAGGGAACCCCAGCGTTCACTGGTAACACAAGGACATCACCACAGACTTAACACATTGCTATTTACTACATGATTTAATTGGAAAGCTGGGGATATGCGACATTTTCTTGTAAAGCGTCGGATACTTCCCACATGGGACAAATTGTATGAAAACAAATTAAACCTACAATAAAATTTCTAAGCATTAGGTGATAGCTTTATCAAAGTTTTATTTTCATTTTTTCAAAACTAGAGTATCGCTCTGTCGTCAGGCTGGAGTGCAGTGGCACGATCTCGGCTTGCTGCAATCTCCACCTCCTGGATTCAAGTGATATTCCTGCCTCAGCCTCCCGAGTGGCTGGAACTACAGGTGTGCATCACCACACCCACCTAATTTTTGTATGTTTAGTGGTGGTGAGATTTCACCATGTTGGCAAGGATGGTCTCAAACTCCTGGCCTCAACTGATCCAACCGCCTTGGCCTCCCAAAGTGCTGGGATTACAGGCATGAGCCACTGCCTTGAGGCCTCAAAATATATTTAAAGCAAAAATACTATCATAACTGAACATACCCAGACAACCTCTCTCATCTTAACATAGATAACAGTAAACAGGAGTTATTTATGTTGTGGATTTGAAGCCAGTTCTTACCTTGAGAAGTCTAGTCTGCTCTTTAAAATCTTCATCTTCATCTGATTCTGCATCAGGTAAGTGATAGATTTTGATGTTATGTTCTTCAATTTCATCCAGAATCTGATAAAATGACAAAACCAGATCAATTTTAGTCAACTGCATGTATTATTGTAGCCAATTCTAACTCAACATGTAAGAAATGTATCAGTCATCCAAATGTCAATAATCAAACTAATTATGAAAGTTATTGTCAAATAAATTTATAAAACTGCTAGAAAGGTACTTATATTTGAATTTTGAGGATCCTCTGTACAGAATAAAAGTAACATTAGCAATAATGCACCACCACCCTCAATGTACAAAGCAGTAAGACTAATGTTAGCACCAGCACAACAGCTAAAATGGAAATCATACCATAACCAGCCTCTCAGGAAGGACAAATACCACAGGAGAAGCTACAGGCATGAGATGTCCCTGTAGAACAGGCAGGTGTCTTATAAGCAGAGAAGAGGGGGAGGTACCCCAGATGAAAAAAAAAAAAAACATTGTCAAAGGCACAGAGAGGAGGACACATAGGGTGAGTTTTGAGAGTAACGAGAAATTCAAAAGGCTGGAATCTAAGACACCCAGTTGAATAACGGAACAAAAACTGGAGTTACAAAGTGGAGAGTTCCATGAACACCAGGCTAGCGACTTGGGGATCTGTATTTCATTCAAGACGCAGCCAGCAGCCAGCAGCCACATCCCACAATCTGACCTATCAAACAGGCAGTAGTGTGTGGGGGGCCTCCATGGGAGAAAGAACTGGGCCGAAGTTGAAATATGCATTCATTCATCAGTCAATCAATCAAAACCCCAGCACTCAAATGCCCACTACATGGTGGGCACTCTAACAGGCACCAGGGAGGCCACAGTTTTGTTTGGTCTCACCCCAGTACCTGGGGCATCAAGGGAAGAGAGAACAAAAGCAATGTGAGCAGAAAATATTCTGACCTCAAACTTTGCACTGAATCTGATCCCTGGTTTTTAAGAATGGAAATCCTTAATGTGACCTGAAAAGGGCCTTTAATGATCAGAGATTTGCTCTTAGCACAACGTCTGCACTGCAGAAAAGGCCCTCCTTTCTACATGGGAGGAACCATCTTATCTCTGGAAGAAACTGCGCAGTGAGAGTAACCTGCGCACCTGTCCTCACTCACGGCCCCTTTCTTGGTCTTTTATCCATTCATGCCAACCCCATCTTTTGTCCTATGCTGGCCTCATTAAAATGGAGCTTATACTTTGGAGGGGCAAGAGTTCATTAGTAAGCCGACTATTTAAAAGTGGAGGAGAGGAGTCAGAAAGTGATGAATAACAAATAATTACACATTTCTCAGTCTGGGTGACTGGAAGAATTGTGGGACCATTTAAAGAGACAGGAAAGTTGGAAGGACAGGAGTTCATCAGTGAGCAAAAGAGGACTCCTGTGGGCACACGTGGTTCACAACAAGAAATAAGATACTTGGAAGGGCAAATCTGCCAAGTCACAGAAATAATGCGATCAAAATAATATTAAGAAATACTGACCTTTAAGGATCAGAAAGGAAGGTGGAAAAAAGCAGCAGAGAGCAAAGTGAGCACAGTGGCCCAGCAGCCAAGGAAGGGAAGCTTCAGGAGCAGAGCTGCCAATCGCACAAACCTCACAGGTGGGGCCCACATCCGAGAACTGAACAAGCTCTACGCGTTTTGCATACAGGATTAGAGATTAAAATTAAAGCATTCTAATCCTGACACCACCCCCATTTCTACCTCAAAGAAATTTAATGTACAGAATATAAAAGGTAAAGTTCCCTTAAGTGGGAATTGCTAAATTATTTATTAGTGTAAAAACATCTATGCTTCCAGTGTTCTTCTAAAGGTACAAATACTTCCTAAAAAACCGGCAGGCACTTGAGACAACGAAGGAAAGGCTGCCAACATGACTACGTGCTGCTTAAAAACTGCTATTGGAAAAAAGCACCAAGAAAAACATGAAAACACCAACGTCAAGCCAGGTGAAATCACTTGCAAGGTGATAGTCAACATCTATCTGTTAAGTCAATAAAAAAGCAGGAGCCAAGCCCCTGCAGCCTGAGAGAAGACACTAACTGGCAACAGCACCAAGACAGATACTCACATCACCAATCAAGGAAACGCAAATCAAAATGAGACACAATTTCTCAGATGAGAAACACATTACAAAAACTGGTAACATAACCAGGACAGTTATAGGGGGTAGAGAAGAGTACACTTTGGAAATATAAATTGTTACAAACTTATTTCACAGCAAATTTAGTCATCTTTCAAAATTTTAAATGTATACTGATTTCCTAAGAATTAGTTTGGCTCACACAGTTGTGAAAAGATAGATGTGCGCGGACGTTCATTACAACAGTTATGCAACAAAGCTATCATGTGCCAGACTTTATTCTGAACTCTGGGAATACATAGGTCAATGAAGCAGACTCCTATCTCAGGACCTGAGTCAGGGGTCAGGAGAAGCCAAAAAATACACTGGAGAAATACTTCATGCAGTGTGTGGGGAGTGCTGCCAGCAGAGCAGGGGATGGAGATGTGAAATCTTGTGTGCACCGCCGGGCTCAGTGCGGGAGTTGCCCACATGGGTATCTGAGGGAAGACTGTTCCAGGCAGAGGGTATCAATAGCAAAAAGGAACAACAAGGGGCAAAGAAACCGTGAATTTGGTAAGAGAAGAAAAGGGGCCAGAGCAAAACAAAAAGTAAGCCAAATATTCATCAACAGGAAACTGAACAAGTTACAGTATATTCATGCAGTGGAATGCTATGCATCCAGTAAGAATTAGGGTAGAGCTGTATATGAGAATGCTTCCGAATATTTTTAAATAGGATAATCAAATGGCAGACTAGTATTACTATGTGATTTCATTCTGTAAAAACAAAAACACAGGCCATGTTCAAAAGGACATACATTTAACAGCTCTTCTTTCTATGGGTAATTATAGAAATTCTTTTTTTTTATTTTCTTGGGACAGAGTCTGGCTCTGTCATCCAGGCTAGAATGCAAACAAACTCCACCTCCTGGGTTGAAGCGATTCTCTTGCCTCAGCCTCCTGAGTAGATGGGACTACAGGCACCCGCCACCACACCCGGTCAATTTTTGTGATTTTTTTAGAGATGGAGTTTTGCCACGTTGGCCAGGCTGCTGGTGATCTGCCCACCTCAGCATCCCAAAGTCCTGGGATTACAGGCGTGAGCCACCACACCCAGCCAGCATTTCTGTTATTGAAAAACTGTTTTTTAAGAGATAGGGTTTGGCTATATTGCTGAAGTTGGCCTCCAACTCCTGGGCTCAAGTGATCCTCCTGCCTCAGCTGCCTGGTGTACCCCCCCAACCTGCTCCAGCAACTGGGGTTACACACATGTACTGGTATGTTCAGTTAGGTATTTGTATTTTTAAGAGTTCAGCATATGTTTCTTAAGGAGCATATAATCAGAAAAAAGGAATTAAAAAATATATAGTGGAGAATCAATAAAGAGCTTTATAGAAATACACAGAAGAGGGCCCTAAAACAGGGCACCACAGGAGCTGCTGGAGGGGAGAGGAGCTTCGCTGGCTGATAACTGCTATGTTCCCAAACAGAACAGAGAGCCAGTCTGCTTAGACACCTCCTCGTATGGGTCATTTGCAGCAAAGTGTTTAGATAAAATAATACACTTCATGGAGAGGTCACATTTCTAATATTTGAGTCATTTAACAGCTATGAAATGTGCTGGTGTGTTACCAACTGCTGCTCGCCGAGAGCATTTTAAATAGAAGGATAATTTAAAGAATAGAAATTTATCTTCATGAAGGAAAAAATTAAAATTTGTAACTGTTAGGTTCTCCTTGAAAACCACCAATATAATGCAGGAAAAATCCTCCTGCCCTGCCTCCCGACACCTGAGCAGACTGCTGAGGGTGCAAACACCCTCCTTCCTTCATCCCCCATGCCCCCAAATTGCACCCTGAGGGAGAGCAGGAGGCCAACCTCACTCACCCTTTTCTTCAGCCGCTCCCGTTCCTTCAGGGTGAGGGTGTCAGCTTTTGCAATGACAGGCACAATATTCACCTTGTTGTGTATTGCCTTCATAAACGCCACATCTAAGGGCTTAAGTCTAAAATTAATTTTAGAAGTGTCACTTATTTAAGAAAAATACATATAAAACTTTTTTCTCTCAATTATCTTAATTCTTATATTAGAATACAGAGTTTGGGTAACACTTACAAACCCATGTGGTAAAGCATTTCTCCACAGTAAGCAATTACTTACCCATGTCCAAATGGTGAAATGAAGTAAAAGCAACAGTGCACTCGATTATCAACAATGTGCCGTCTGTTCAAGCCGCTCTCGTCATGCAGGTACCGCTCAAACTGCTCATCGATGTAGGAGATTATCGTCTTAAAACTGAAACAGAAGCATTAACAGTGGTCACGGGGGATAAAACATGAGGTCCCTGACTTCAAAAGGAAAATAGTGCTCCCACCCAAATATATATAATTTAATAATTCATTTTCAAGATGAGAACAGAAGACTGACTCCTAGGTTTGGCAAATCTAAGTTTCTGGAAATCATGCCAAGCATAACTGCTCCTAAGTGCTGGGAGTCAAAAGCCTGAATGGAATAGGCTATGATGCTCCTGAGAGAGGACGTGCAGGCAGGGCTGCCCTTTTCGTTTTTTTTTTTTTTTGGAGACGGAGTCTCACTCTGTTGCCCAGGCTGGAGTACAGTGGCACGATCTCGGCTCACTGCAACCTCTGCCTCCCGGGTTCAAGCAATTCTCCTGCCTCGGCCTCCTGAGTAGCTTGGATTACAGGTGCATGCCACCATGTAATCCAACGTAATTGTATTTTTAGTAGAGATGGGTTTCACCATGTTGGTCAGGCTGATCTCAAACTCCTGACCTTTGCGGGTCAAGAACACGTTTACCTGACATGGGAACAGCACAGCACTTTCACATCTAAGAAGGGGGAAATCCCCAATGTAGGAGAGAGACAAAAGAACCTTCCCCCTTTCTCTAATGGTGGAAAGTTGATGCTTTATGCTGACAGGATTAAAACCAGGAGGGAGTTTGCACAATAAAAGTGGTATTCTTTGCACAGTACAGGTGATAGACTGCTCTATCTTCTACTTCTTGTGTGAAAACAATGCCAATGAGCAGTCATTTATAGACACTATAACTCAACCCACTCTCTAACAGGCTTCATTTTCTTCCATAGAAAGAATGTCCTACAGTCTCTTGTTCACCAGGCACAGCTCAAATCCAGGTGTTTCGTGCTAGCAATCTACGGACGGTTGGCTTTGTGATCTCAAATCACTACAGTACCAGACAATAATTACCCCCCATAAAATTCTTAAATTATTTTAAAAGTCCATATTTAACATGCTTTAAATTGTCTAGTTGTTTTATTATATACAGCTATCCCAAACTTAATAATCACTCATTAACACTACCTATAAATTTGAGCACATTAAACAAATGCAGATCCCTGAGCAGGGAGGTGCATACCAATCTCTGCAGTTGATAGCATCACCATAGCCAGGGGTATCCACCACTGTCAGGCGTAGCTTGACCCCTCGCTCTTCAATTTCAACAGTTGAAGCCTCAATTTGGACAGTTCTTTCAATTTTCTCTAGAAAAGAAACAAACTTAATAGGTAACATAAGCAGCATGCAAAGAGGAAAGGACACGTTAATAACATTCTTACAAATGGCCTCAGGGTCCACCACCTCTCTGCAAGAGGTAGGTTCTCCAAAGACACCACGGGGAGTATGCGAGAATGATCCAGGGTAGTCAGAAAGCGGAATGTTAAAGCTAAGATTAATGTGCTACTGAGGAAGGTTAAAAATGCAAATATTAAAAATTCTAATTTCTGTTCCTGAGATAAATAAAACAATTTACAAATTCATTTAAAAATTGAGGCCAGGCGCAGGGGCCCCCGCCTATAATCCCAGCACTTTGGGAGGCTGAGGCGGGTGGATCACGAGGTCAAGAGATTGAGACCATCCTGGCCAACATGGTGAAACCCCGTCTCTACTAAAAAATACAAAAATTAGCCAGGTGTGTTGGTGGATACATGTAGTCCCAGCTACTCGGGAGGCTGAGGCAGGAGAATTGCTTCAACCCGGGAGGAGGAGGTTGCAGTGAGCCGAGATCGCGCCATTGCACTTCAGCCTGGGTAACAAGAGCGAAACTCCATCTCTAAAGAACATCCTGGCCAACATGCATATATATACATATACTAAATATACAAAAATTAGCCGGGCGTGGTGGTATGCGCCTGCAGTCCCAGCTACTGAAGAAACCTCACACAGAAAAACGGCTTGAATCCAGGAGGCGGAGGTTGCAGTGAGCCGAGATCACACCACTGTACTCCAGCCTGGCGCCTGAGCGAGACTCTGTCTCAAAAAAAAAAAAAAAAAAATTGAATTCAAAACTATTCTGAAGAGCTACATGTTCTTGCAGCAGCCCAAGTCTCAGGCTCTCACTATGTGTGGCCCGTTCATTCCACAGGCGTTTGTGGATGTTTTCAGAAAAGCACTGTGCTGGAACTTCTGACAGCAGATGAATTAGGTAACACCTATTCCTAGTAATCTTCGATTTACACACCATTTTTGGTATAAAATATTCTCACTTAATCCTCCCATCAAATGTGTAATATAGGCAGAAACTACTTATTACATTTTACAGACTAAATAAGCTCAGAGAGCATGGATCCATGGATACATGTCAAAGAAAGTCCAAGGACCTCAGTGCAGCACACCTACCACATGTAAGTGTTTTCCTTGTGTTCAAAGCTAAATAAGAACAAACAAAACACAGAGCTAAGGCATAAAATATTAATTACTCTTTAGCACCTTTCCTGTAGCATTACACTCAAAATAACATAGGAATGTTTTTACCTGCAGCGCCTGGTATAACTCTTTCTGGGTAGAGATCAGTTAGGAACAGGCTGTTTATGAGAGTCGATTTTCCTAGACCTGATTCACCTTTAAATGAAAACAAAAACCTTGTCAAGACCTTATCCATATGACACCATTCAATCTCTTAAGTGTTTACACAAGGTCTGGGTACTGGGTTAAGTACCTCACAAACATCATTTTCTGTGTATTCCATACTCCAAATTTCATTGTGTTTAGTACCTACAGTACTACTATGTTTGGAGTATGATCTTTGAGGGTACTCAAAGACTCCGTAACTTGCCCAAGGTCAGAGTACTATCCAGAGCAGGGTCATGATTTGAAGGTCCAAGAGACTACAGAACTTGAACACCACATGATTAGAAACACAACTGTTCACAAATGTGAGGAATGTACTTTAGAGGTTGGTTTTTATTTTTGACAAACAGAATGCAAAGCAGGTTTTCAATGACCAGTTCTGCTAAACACTAAACTTACCACATTTTCAGAAAACTGAATGTATCTATCCTATCATGCTTCCTGAGCTGCAGGAAGGGGTGAGCAGGACGGGGCCTGTGGCCTGGTGGACTCACTTGTACACACTCACTCGAAACCTCCACCTTCTGCCACCCTGTCTCTTCCTGCTTCAAACTCACCCTGTTTCCCAGCAGTGGCAACTGCCACATGTCAGGCAAGTTTCCTGCTCACTTTGTTGAGTTCACATGACTATTTCAGGCGAGACTTGTCCACGTAAGCTTTCAATGAGGTGAGAATCCCTCTTCAATTATTATAAGTACATATTCTGAATATTTGAAATTTTACTTCAAAAAAGATGCAAAATACCAAAAATTAAATTTTACATTTGAAGGAAGCACAAATTCCATTGTTTCATTGTAGGTTATCATCTAAGTCTTAAGTGTGCATGGAGAAGAGCTTCTGATCTTGGTATTATATAGTACTTGGTGCTGGAATGTCCCCTGGGCACCTTAAACCACCCTCTGTTAAGATCTGCAGAACACAAGGAAGTAGTACACATCTGTTTTAAAAATTATTATTTCTGGCTCAGCACAGTGGCTCACACCTGTAATTCCAGCACTTTAGGAGACCAAGGACAAAGGATCACTTGAGGGCAAGAATTCAAGACCAGTCTGGGCAAAATAGTGAGACCTGTCCCCAACTCTCAAAAAACCAAAACAAAATAAAAAACCCCCAAGCCTTAGCCAGGTGGGGTGGCATATACCTAGAGTCCCAGCTACCTGGGAGGCTAGGGCAGGAGGACTGCTTGAGCCCATGTGTCAAGAGGTTACAGTAGGTTATGATCACACCACTGCACTTCAGTCTGGGTGACAGAGTGAGACCCTGTCCCTTCCAGAAAAAAAAAATTCTGGGAAAATCAAGAACAAAAAAGTGAATTTGAAATGTGCAGACAGGCCGGGCGCGGTGGCTCAAGTCTGTAATCCCAGCACTGTGGGAGGCCGAGGCGGGTGGATCACGAGGTCAAGAGATCGAGACCATCCTGGTCAACATGGTGAAACCCCGTCTCTACTAAAAATACAAAAAATTAGCTGGGCATGGTGGCGCGTGCCTGTAATCCCAGCTACTCAGGAGGCTGAGGCAAGAGAATTGCCTGAACCCGGGAGGCGGAGGTTGCGGTGAGCCGAGATCGAGCCATTGCATTCCAGCCTGGGTAAGAAGAGTGAAACTCCGTTCCAAAAAAAAAAAAAAAAAAAAAAAAAAGGAATGTGCAGACATACAAAATTAGGACTGCATTTTAAGGGAACTGCAATTTTCACGCATGAAAAGAACAAAATATGTGTTAAACATGCCTAAATATGAAAGTGAATATCTGACTCGATGCCTATTATCCCATTAAGTCATCCTTTGAATAAACTATCCTGCAATGTCCCTTTGCATTTTTACTCCATTTAAAGGAAATTTTACCAACATTTGCTAAGCCTTTTTCAGCATGCCTGGCAGAGATCTAGACACAGAGATGCAACAGAGAACAAGATGGAACGAAGTCCCTGCTCCCTGGAGCTCTACAGCCCCGTATGCAGGAGCAACAGCTGTGAGGAATGGCTGAGAAAGTCATTAGAGACACCTCTTAAAAAACCAGTTAGAATATCCCGCTGGCTACTTCTAAAGAAGTAGGCAAGTTCACAAAGTAACACGTCAAATACAAATGAAAGACTACAAATGTTTGGGCAACAGTCTGCAAGGGATTCTAAAATCACAAATGACTTATTCAGAGACATGAGGAGGGAACCCAGGTGGCAGACTGTCCATGAGACGACTTGGTGACCACACTGCTGAACACTGTAGTCAGAGTGATAAATTGTATTAAGTTACTATCCTGGCTACATTTATATGGGATGGTGGTTTAATGTATATGAAAAGCATGTTTAAAAATAAAACCTGTTGCCAAATATGTTACCTAATAGAAATCTAATGTAGAGATGCTTGGGTCTGAAAAAGAAGAAGAAAGTAGGTTGTTACTGTGACCAAATTCACAGGAGGGTTACAGAGCAAGCACTTGAGGACCAAAAGCTAGAGTAGTGTGTAATTCCAGGCGCTCATGCGAGCATGCATGCTACGGGTGCTCCATCCTAAGAGCACAGGAGTCTGGGATGGGCAGGCCAGACCTCTGAGAGACCTTGGTGAGCTGTCTGCTCCCACAGACTCCGGCCTCACACAGCTCTCAGTGCCATCTGCTCTCGCACGCCTCTGATGGGAGTTATCTGCATATTGGTCAAAAATTTTAAATATGAAGAGAAATTCCCTCAGACGTGAAAGCTATTTCCTAACATTCCTGGCACAGGCTGTTTTGCCGTTGTATTTTTTTAGCCTAGGTTTAAAAAAAAAAACTTTTTATATGTGATGGGGAGGAAGGCAGCACATCAATCACACTGCCATGTGTGTACCTATGCAACAATCTTGCATGTTCTTCCCACGTACCCCAAAACCTAAAATGCGATAAAAAAAATTGAAAAAAAAAAAAAAAAAAATAATAAAATTATTCTTTATTTTTTTTTTTTTTTTGAGCAGAAATTTCGCCTGCTATGAAAGTAGCAAAGTATTTTTTAAAATGCCAGAATATAGCTATTCTCTAAAAGTAGTGACAAAAAGGACTGGAATGGGAGGTATTCGGAATTTTAAAAATGGCACATTTTCCCTAATTAGAAAGAAAACAGTATTAGGTACAGTGGAACCACAGTAGAAAACATACATGTAAGGTGAGGAAGTGAAGCTTGATTGTACAATACTATTCTGAAACCCCATCAGGCAAATGAAGTCTACCCTCTGCAGTCCCCACTGCAGGCAAACACCAATCTGCTTTCTGTCACTACGGATCAGCTCTGCTTATTCTGAAACTTTTAAATGGCATGATACAACATGGCCCGTTTTCTGTCTGGCTGCTGGTGCTCAGCAAAGTCTGAGACTACCGCGTGTTGCTGCATCTCTGAGTAGTTCGTTTCTTTGCAGTGCTCAGCAGTATCCCAATGAACGGCTACACCACAGTTTGTTAACCCACTCTCTAGATACTTCTGCTGCCCCATTTTGGGGCTATTTTGAGCAAAGTGGCTATGAACATTCACATACAAGTCTCTATGGAAAGGTTTCATTTCTCAGGGGTGAATACACAGAAGCAGCACGGCTGGGTCTTACTGTTAAGGAAGCACCAAACTGGTTTCCATACTGGCTGTAGCATTTTCACACACTCACTGGTAAGGGTTCCAGTTGTTTCACATCCTTGCTGACACCTGGAGTGCAGCCTTTCAGTGGATGTATGGTGGCATCTTGTAGTTTCAATGTGTATTCCCCTGATGGCCAAACACGTGGACATCTTTATGTGGGTTTACAGGCCACTGGTATATCTTCCTTAGTCAAATGTCTACTAAGATCTTTTGCCCCCTCTTTGTAAGTGGGTCATTTGTCTTTTTGATCTGTAGAAGATTTTTACATATTCTGGACACATATCCTTTGTCAGATACGGTACTATGAATACTTTCTGAGTTCCTCACATTTTATTTTTCTATTGATGTCTTTTGAAGAAAGCAAACTTTTAATAACGCACAATATACTTTTTCTTCATAATTTCTATTCTTCACATCCTAATAAATCTGCTTACTCCAAAGTCATAAGTTTTTTCCCCTGTTTTCTTGTAGAATTTTTAAAGCTTTACATTTAAATCTATCATTTCAGGTTAATTTTGACGAGAGAAAAGCGGGAGCTGAAGTTCATTTTATTCACACATAATCATCTAGTTGCTACGGTACTGTCTGTAAAAAGACTAACCTTGCCCCCATTGTAATTAACTTGGCTTTTTTCTCAAAAAGAAACCCAAACAACTGAATGTGTATTCATGGGTCTACTTCTTGGCTGTTGCTCTGTTCAGTAGATCTGTGTAGCTAGCCTTCCCACATGGTCTTGATTACTGCTGTTAAAGTCTTGGGACCAGGGTGTAATCCTCCAACTTTACTTTTCTCTAAACTGTTTTTGCCTGTTCTAGGCCCCCTGCATTTACAATTAAACTTTAGAATCAGCTTGTTAATTTATATTTCTAAAAGTTGGGGCCGGACAGGGTGGCTCATGCCAGTAATCCTTGCACTTTGGGAGGCTGAGACGGGTGGATCACTTGAAGCTAGGATTGGAGACCAGCTTTGCCAACATGGCAAAACCCCATCTCTACTATAAATACAAAAATAAGATGGGTGTGGTGGCATGTGCCTGCAGTGTCAGCTACTTGGGAGGCTGAGGAATGAGAATCACTTGAACCTGAAAGGCAGAGGTTGCCGAGATCCTACCATTGCAGTCTGGCCTGGATGACAAGAGCAACACTCCGTTAAAAAAAAAAAAAAAAAAAAAAATCAAACTGACTATATGGGACAATTTGGGGGAGAAAGGGCATTTTAATAGTTCCAATCCAAAAATGGGGCAGATCTTACAACTTATTTAGGTTTCAATTTCCCTCAATGGTGATTGGTAGTTTTCATTGCATACGCCTTGCACATTTTGTTAAATTTATCCCTAAACAATATTTTTTGTTACTATAAATGATACGGTCTTAAAAGTATTATGATTACTTTTTG